GAAGAGTGCCAAGTTGTATATCCTCAAGGATAAATTGACAAGCTTCAAGATGAAGGATGATGAGAGCATTCCGGAGATGTTTCATCGATTGCAAGTCATTGTCAATGATTTGAAGGCATTGGGAGAGAAGATCAAGGATGATGATGTCTCTCATTGGTTCTTGATGTGCCTACCTCAAAAATTTGAGATGTTAAGATTGCTCATCATAAGAGGAGGATTGAAGGACATTACCCCCAACCAAGTACTAGGTGATGTCATGACCCAAGAGACATACCGTGTGGAAAGAGAGGGGGATGACAAGGATGACAAGATGGATGAAGAAGACAAGAAGAAGAAAAGTGTGGCATTCAAGGCTAGCTCATCATCATCCAAGAACAAGGGCAAGTCAAAGAAAGAATCAAGTGATGATGATGACCTTAGTGATATTGATGATGAAGCTATGGCTCTCTTTGTTCGCAAGATGGAAAAATTCATGAAGAAGGGCTATGGTGCAAGAAAGAGAAGAGATCACACCAAGAAGAAAGAGTATGTGAGAAGATGCTATAATTGCAAGAGCCCCGATCATGTAGTAGTAAATTGTCCATATAATAGTGATAATGATGAGGATGAGAAAAAGAAGCACAAGGAGGATAAGAAAGAAAAGAAGGAGAAGAAGGAGAAGAGGATGACCTTCCAAAAGAAGAAGAAGGGTGAAGGCTATGTGGTCACTTGGGATAGTGATGGCACTTTGGATAGTGATGATTCTAGTGATGATGGCAAGAAATCTATCAAGAAAGCACTAGCAAGCATCGCCATCAACAACAAGCCCTCTATCTTCGACACTCCATCGACATGCCTCATAGCAAAGCCTACTAAGGTAAAATATGATGAGAGTGACGATGATGAATGTGAAAGTGATTCTTGTAGGAATGATGATAATGATGATGATAAGGAGGAGTACACCAAGGAGGAACTCTTGGACATGTGCGAGCAAGTGCACGCTTGCAATGAGATGAAGAGAAAGAAGTACAAAGAATTGCGCAAGAAAGTAAAATTTCTTGAGCAATCCTTTAATGAGCTCAATGCCACTCATGAGAGGCTAATGGAAGCCCATGAGAAGCTTGGCAAAGCTCACTCTAAGCTTGAAAAGGATCACTCCTCTCTCATTGAGCAAGTCAAAGTAGCTGCGTCTGGAGAAGTCACTGGGCTCAGCAAAGGTGTGGGGGGGGTGGAGAACAGCCAGGTAGGGTTTCGTTGGAAGCAGTAGCAGACGCGGACCTGCGGGAGGAGGCAGCGCCGGGGGTGCAGGCACGGAAAACAACCAGAATATTGAAAAGGAGACGTCGCATTATACATTTTTTAGTGGGCAGTGGGTAAAATATATCTTTCAAATACAAATGTTATACTGGCTATACAATATATTATGTCACTGCCCTTCGGAGGCACAAACACCGACCATCGAAAAATTAGCGTCAAGGCTAACCTTTTTTCATGATGCCAGAACGTAGCAGGTAGCTTCCAATTTCTCTATTATCTTGGTGATGATCCTATGACCTAGGAAACCAAACCTGAAAAGTTGACACCAAATTAGGAAACAGAGAACCTTTTTTCATGCTGCTAGAATGTATGATTTATAGAAGGGGACAATGCTCCTTTCCAATTTAAAAGGCCATCACCTAGGGCCATAGCACGGCAAGCCAACAGGAAGCGGAGAATCGAAGGACACAACAGGAGGATGAAATACAAATAACGGAGTAATGGTCGTGGCGTCGATGAAGCGAAGCCAAGCACCGGCAATGTGGAAGAGTAAGACCTGGCATCGATGAATCGAAGGTCAGCGCCGGCAGCAAGAACGGAATCTTGTTTGGTTCTGGCATTGCATCGAGCAGCTGAAAGCCACAGAAGGACAGAACAATTATTTAAACAGGGAAAAAAATTAAATGGAACCCAGATACCTAGGCATAGCAGTGTTGAGGCAAGACAAGCCTGGAAATCAAGAATTGGATTCAATGAGCATAATCATCTCCATCAGAAAATCTACATGGCTCCACCGTCTCGACCTATTCGTCCTCCTGTTCTGTCCTGGGCATACACAGAGGCCAGAGAGAAGGAAGGGAAGAGGATAACAAAATATTATAGAGAAATATTACCTGCGCAAATCTTGCGCAACCCTCAGCACGGCTCACAGTGTAGCCTGGGCACACCTAGCTGAGACGTCGTAGCAACAGGCAGAGGCGTATCTGCTGCATGACATGTTAGTCATGGAGAATCGTGAGCTAGGGTTTCGTGAAGTAGAGGAGCAAATGCGGACCGGCGTGAGGAGGCGGCACTAGGGGTTGGCACTCCCATGACATCCAGCGCAGGCCGGCCGCGGCGAGGCATGGGCAGGGACGGCCATCGGCAGGGCCGACGCGCTGCAGTGTGCCGTAGGCCGGAGGTGCCGTGGCATCGCGAGCACGCCGCACGCCGAGGCTCTGCGGCGCCGAGGGCCGGCCGGCACGCGGCGACGTCTATAGAGAGAGAGAGAGGAAGAGGGAGAGGGAGAGGAAGGCAGGGGCGCGGCCCAGCGGAAGCGGCGGTGGTCGGGGTGACGAGCGAGGGAGAGAACGAGCGAGGAGAGGGACGGGATATTTTGAGAAGCTTCAGGAAGGTGAAGCAGAAGCCGGATATGTATTTGGCTGACCAGATTCGAACGAGAAGCTAGAGAAGCTAGGAAAAAGCAGAGTCGAAGGCAAAGCAGGTGAAGAGAATCAGGAGGAGCCGCTTCCGATAAAATCCGATCGACGAGATCTGGGCCTTCGACCGCAAGATCGGACAGCGGGGAGAATTTCGGGCGATGTGGATGGGCTAGTTGCTGGCCAAAGCTCCTACTTTGATAATAAGAGATATACAATGTCGCATCGCAGTTGATCCCTTATCCCCGTCCATTTCATGTACGGAGACTTGAGAATTTCGAATCTGGGTATAAGTCGCACGCGGACAGCATGAGTAGCCCGTGGGAGAAACTTTTTTTTTCCGTATAAGAACGGGATTTTTTTTTTTGATTCCGGTGGGCACTTCCCTGCTCTTCATAACGTGTGTCCACTGTCCACCACCATTTTTAGAGCACATCCGCCCGGCTCCGATCCCAGCGCCGTGTAGGCAAAACAACATTACAACAACAAACCTGAAAGGAGTCAACGATGACAACAGCAACAAAGAAAGCAAACCAAAGCGACTACCAAGACAAAACGATAGGCACTGACAAGAACAGAAGACGGCTTATCATGGTCAGCAAAGTCTAGCGGAAAGACAAAGAGGTACACCGCGTCACCGCCACAAGATCCCACAAAGCACGACCTTCTGTATGCATGAGTGACCCTGCATATTCTTGTAACAAAGCACGACCTTCTCTGAGCGGTGATTTGCACGGAAGGTGCTACGCTCAATCCTTCCTCTATACCAGGCCATAACAACTGTCCAAATCGGCAATGGTGCAACTACATCCTTCTGGGGGGATGTTTGGCTTGGTGATGAAGCACCGGCAGAAGTCTACCCTGCGCTGTACAGTCACTGCACCCGGAAAGAAACAACGGTCAAGGAGGTAATGGACAGTGGGCTACAAATACTCTTGGTTCCACGGCTGACACCACTAGCTACACAGCAGCTCAACAGGCTCCAGGCCAGTTTGTCAACCTGTTCGCTTATGCTGAAATTTGGCTTATGCTGATTTGTTGTGAGAGAAAAATACTATTTATTTGCTAAAAAGCGAACAGGGTGCTATCAGATGAACAGGATCGCAGGCTATCTCCTTTCAGTAATGGCGATGCGAAGCTTGACTCTGGAATGGTATACAGGCTTCTCAAAGCTCGCAGCCAGGGAACCAACGAAGGATCTGCATTCATTTAGAAAAACTCCGCGACACCGAGGGTCCAAATGTTTATGTGGCTGCTAACTCAAGGCCGGATACAATACCAAACCAATCTGCAGCGAAAAGAACGTGCCAACGGCGCCGTGTGAAGTGTGCGAGCAAGCTGATGAAACCCAGAGCACATCATCAATGGTTGCCCTATTACCATGCAATTCTGGGAGAAGATCGGCGTTACCATGGCTCCGGACATCACAGTAACGGAGCTGTGCAAGACCAACCAAATTTATATAATAAAATAATAACATTTATTATACCAAATAAGTATCACTAGCTAGATTCTTCATTAATAATATTTTCATATATAGTATACCTATTTGATGTCATAAATATTTATAGTTTTTCTATAATTTTTATCAAGCTTAAGATGGTTTGATTCTCCAAAAAAGTTTGAATAACTTATAGTTTGAAATAGAGAGAGTACTTAGAGTACGAACTAGGGGATCCTAGAGGGATCTCTTCACAAGACGAAGAAGAACAAGGAAGGACAAATGTTTCAGTAAGACATTCGACAATTTAGCTGCAATATCATATGATTTATCAATTGGGGCTTAAGCGTTTCTACCCCCATTTTAAAGCATAATGGTGATTTTACCCTTATTTTTTTAACTTTGTGATTTTACCTCTGTAATTTCAAAACGAAGACACACTTTACACCTGTTCTATGAAGTCTCTCCAACGGTATTAACTTTTTGACCAAAAGACACCTTTGCCCATGATTTTTACCCTGTTTTATTTTGATATTGTGTTTTTACCCCTATTTATGAAAAGATCTTTCTTCTTGAGAAAATTGCATATTTGGGATTCTAATCGTCGTGCTTCGCAGTTTTAGGACTTCAATCGTCGACTCCGTAAAAATAACCCTCCAAACGTTAGACTCTTGATTTTCATGACATTATATGTATTTTCTTTCATTTTTATCTTTATACATGTATTTGACACTGTACGTACCTGGGAAGGGAAGTCCGAGCCGCCCAACGTTGAGAAGCCCTAACCCCTCGTCTGTTCGTATCCCCGCCACCCGACGCCGTGACGTTTCTCCCCACCGCGATCCCAACGCTGCAGCAGCAGCCATGGAGGCCTAGCCTCCCGTCGCCTTGCCGACGCCGCGGCCATGGAGGGTCAGGCTCCCGACGCCACGGCCATGGAGGACCAGCCTCCCGATGCCATGGTTGGCCCTTCGCTTCCCCTGGCCATGGCTGCCGAAGGTCAGACAGCGGCTGCAAAGCGGCTGGCCACGCGTGCCCGAGATGACCTGGCCACGACGGACGCCCCAGACCTGGACGCGACGGACGCCCAAGGCCTGCCCCCGCCGATCGCTCAAGGGCTGGCAGCGGCCGTTGACGATGTGGTCGTGCCCGAGGGCTCCATGGATGGCGAAGCTCCATCGCCAGCCACTGCTATATTCAGAAATTTTAGCAAAAATCCAGGCAGTGGCGGCGAGCCAGCCAGCCCAGGCAGCAAGGGCGGCGGCAGCCAGGAAACCTGCCCAGGCACAGGCAGTGGTCTCGGCCGTACGTACGTACTTACGACAGTAACAGAAGGAGCGGTCTCGGCCATCAAGCAGTCTCGGCAAATACATGTATAAAGATAAAAAAAGGAAAGAAAATACACATAATCTCATGAAAATCAAGAGTCGGAGGTATATTTTTATGAAGTCAACGAATGAAGTAATAAACCTGCGAAGCGCGACGATTAGAGCCCCAAATATGCAATTTTCTCCTTCTACTTCCTCTGTCCATCCATGGCCATGGCAGCCATGGGAGGCTGCTGGACTTGTGCTCGCATTCAAGGGGGAGGGAGCTCCTGACGGGGTGGCTGGACCCACGGCAGAGGCGCGTCGGGCCACCCCCACGGCAGCCAGCGGTGTTGGGCTGGGCCCGCTCGGCTTGCACCGGCGCGGGGAGGGGGCTGGGGGCCGAGCGCGGAGGCGCGGTGGCGTCACAAGGAAGGGGCACGGCCGGGGATGACCGGAAAGCGGAAATAGGAGAAGAAAAGGCCGCATCAGCGGTGGTGCAGACCAACACCGACGCATGGAGGACAGTGCCTCCGCGAGCTCGGGGAAAACTCCAGAGGCTGCGACGGGCCGATTCCATCAGGGGCCTGCGGCAGGCGCGCCCGATGCCCGTGCCCTGCGCGGCTGGCACGCCCGACGCCCGTGCCCTGTGCAGCCGCTGCTCGTGTCCTGCTGCAGTGTTGTTGCCTGCGTGCGACGCCCTGCTGCCCGATTGGGGAAAAGTGAACGAGTTTGCCTATGTTGGGAGAAGGGATAAGACGGGGGCAGTGTGGTCTTTTTACATGGCGTACTTTTCTTCTTCTAATTTTTTTCGTTATTTAATTCACCAACATTTAACACCAGCACAAAGTAAGGGTAAACGGCCGCTTCGTTTTAAAATCATAAGGGTAAAATCACAATGTTAAAAAAATAGGGATAAAATCACCATTGGACTATAGAGTAGGGGTACAAACACCAAATTTCCTTATCAATTCATCAAAAGGTTTCTAACAGTTTAGAGACAAGGGATATTAATACAAGGAACAACCCGCCTGTTTAGGTGTGAAAATGGACAGAAGAAGGGCTATGTGAAAAGTCTCCACAAGATGGAAGTCCACAGAATCTCACGCGTCTGTTAGCCTCCTGAGGAGTCTCAACTAATCTAGCCATGACTCTTTATTGGTGTCGGTGTTTCGAGTAAACACCAACTAGTAAATTTGTATTATTGCGCGTTAGGCCTGGATGGTGTGCTAAAAAGACACAAGATTTATACTGGTTCGGGCAGAATGTCCCTACGTCCAGTTCGTGGTTGCTGCTCGTGTTATTTGCACTAAAAGATTCGTAGTAGGGGGTACAAACGGGCGAGAGAGGGACAGGTCCCAAGTCTCTGATGGAAAGGTCGAACGGGTGCTGAGAGCTTGGATGCTGCTTAGCTATGTGGTGTGATGTCTATGGAAATTTATCCGTCCCTTTAGTGGGATGCCCTGCCTTCCCTTTTATAGATCAAGGGGGAGCAGGGATTATAGATGGGAGAAAGAAGAAAAACCAGAGGCAAAGAAGGTCCTTCGAAGGTGTCGGGTCTTCCTTTTCCTCTGAGCTAGCCCTGCTGACACGGCAGGCGGTGCCAGGGATAGCTCCATGCTGGGCGTCTGTCCGTTGATGATGCCACGCTCTGACTTGATCAGAAGTGGTCACCTCCCATCTCGCCTCGGCGGACGGCGCGACGGAACAGGGGTGTTGATCCGCAACCCCACGGGGAGCGGATGGCATAGTAACTGCACGTCCATCACTATAGAGGATGTGAGTCTCCTCTTGTACCATAGTGGTTGTCATATGGTTCTGTCAGGATCCGCGCCCGAGGGCCAGTTGCGGCACCCACAACACTGTAAAACAAATATTGGCACCTACAACACTGTTTGGGCTCTGACATGCCCGGAAGGGCCTTAAAGTGCCCGTCTTGTCATATCTTGACTGTACTTTCCTGCAGGCGTGTAGGGTGTGGTCCTTGGTATTGCGGTTGACTTGAGTGTACTGCCTTGTTTTCACTCATAGTTATGAAGGAGCAGCGTGTAGATGTCGGGCAAGGTAGTGCTAGCCCCTGGGCGTCGGGCGAGGCAGAGTCTACCCCCAGACGTCGGGCGAGGCGGAGCCAGCCCCTGGAAGTCGGGCGAGGCAGAGTCTACCCTCAGACGTAGAGCGAGGCAGAGTCTGCCCTCAGACGTCGGACAAGGCGGAGCCAGCCCCCGGGGGTCGAGCGAGGTGGAGTCTGCTCCCAGACGTTGGGCGAGGTAGAGTCTGCCCTTAGACGTCGAGCGAGGCGGGGTCTACCCTCACACATCGGGCGAGGCGAAGCCAGCCCATGGATGTTGGGCGAGGCAGAGTCTACCCTCAGACATCGGGCGGGGCAGAGCCAGCCCTCAGACATCGGGCGTGGTGGAGTCTGCCCTAAGATGTCAGGCGAGGCGGAGTCTGCCCTCAGACGTCGGGCAAGGCAGAGCCAGCCCCCGAACATCGAGCGAGGTGGAGCCAGCCCTAGGACCTTAGGCGAGGTGGAGCCAGCCCCCGGACATCGGGCGAGGTGGAGTTTGCCCTTGGTCATTAGGCAAGAGGTGTAGCCGTGCTCTTGTCTATTCAGAAGCATCAAAGTTTGATGGTTATTAGCTCCTACTCTTTGGGTACCCTAGTATTTGGTCCCCGACAGTAGCCCCGAGCCCTTGGGTGATTCTGATAGAATCGCCCGGGGGGCATTCTGACTTGCCAGAGGGACACGGTCGAAGGGTCTCCGGGCGTCGTGGCGGTGGTGGAGAGGACCAGCGGGGGTCACCCTTGGCCCTAACATCGGGGGGCAGCCGCTCGCCCGCGCGGGGTGAGTCGCTGCTCCAGTGGATGGATCCTCAAGACCCAACATTGATACTCTTCTCGCTCGATGATGCTACCGAGAGCATAGAGCGGGACAGTCTCAACGAAGGGATCTTAACCATGATGGAAGTCTTGAACCTGGCCAGGGGTGTCCTGCACGACATCATCGTTCCTACTGGTCGGCTATCTACTTAATCTCCCCTCTCGCTTTCTTCTTTCTTCATGTATTTTTGTGTTTTGACATTGATCTTCTTTTTAGTCCCTTATCGCTCATAGCCGGGAGAAATCCCGGTTCCTCCATGAGCAAAAGGTGGAATGGGACCGCCTCATCAAAGAGGCCCAGCTGCATGGGGCTATGAGCGCCCAGCTTGCTGTCGCCCAACAACGAGTGGCCGAGCTGACTCCCTTGGCTAAGGAGGTGACCGGTCTCCGGCAGCGGGAGGCCGAGGCACGTCGAGACACAGAGGATACCAAGAAGGCGTTCCAAGATCTGTCGGTGAGGGCGCAACAAGACGAGGAGGAGGCCGACATAGTCTAAAAGGAGTGGGACGAGCTGCTCCAGAGGGATGCCGAGGCCCGCCAGCGGGTCCTTGACCTCCTAGCCAAGGTGGAGAGGGAGCGGGAGCTCAAGTTGGGAGCCGAGGAGAGGTCTGTGGCCCTACAGCAGAAAGCGAACCAGGACGCCGAGGTGGTTGCTCGGCTACGTAGGGAGCGAGATGAACTGTGCTAGACTATGGAGAGGCTCCACTCGGAGCATGGCGTGGCCCGTGGGGAGCGTGATCAGGCCGTCCGAGAGCGTGACGAGGCGCGGTAGGTGGTCAGCTCCCTCCGGGCCAATCTTGGAGCTACAATAGCCCAAAGGCTAGAGGCCAAGAGCGTCTTCGCTGGGCTAGTCACGGAGCTTGCCGAGGCACGGGGGATCCTTCAGGCGGAGAGTGATGAGCATGATCTCATGCGCACTGCCGTCGGGGTGGTCTTCGATGACCTGGAGGTGGCGTGGCCGAAGGGAACCAGCTCGCTTGCGGCCTATGCAGCCGCGGATATCATGGCGCAAGTGCGCCAACTCGAGAGGGAAGCTCTTCGCTTCGGAATTACCCAAGCCTTCGCCGTCGCCCGTTCCCACTACGCCGAGAGTATCGACTTGGAGACGATGAGCCTTGGCTTCGCGCCTGGCTACGAAGCCACCAAGCTGGATGAAATAGAGAAGGCGGTGGCTCCTATCACGTGGAACCTAGCGGACAAGGTTGAAGAGATAGTTCTCCCTCGGCGGGGATAGTTAGTCGAATAGGCTGGATAAGCATTCTTGTAACTTTATAACTTTGTTTTATTTGATTTGCTTGATTGAACTTGTTTTTCTTCCCTTTTTATGTGTGAAAGAAAGGCTCACGTATTCCAACCCTCTCCATTTATTAAGATTGTAGGGCTTGAGGCATAATAGGAAAAAACTTTGAATCATGCTGATGAGCAAAGATACCGTAGCCGCCGAGGCATAGGTTTTTTGCAGTTCAAACAGGCGTGCTAAGTTTATTCGTTTCCGCAAACTCTGTCGCTAAGCTTAACATGAGGAAGAGGTCTGACGCAGTGACTGTTTTCAGAAAAAGGGGGTATTTATACCTTTATCAGCCCCCAAGTGAGATCTGACCTCTTGCGGTTGCTGGGGTCGAATGTCCCTGAAAACCAAAGAGAGGATAGCGAAACTACTCTTGTATTCGAACGTACCCCTTCCATAGGATTTTAGCTATCATTCTGTGACTGTGCGTTAGGTCTCCTTGTAAGTCTGATCTTCCTCGAGCCCCCACGCGTGGTGGGGATTCGATCAAGGGTCGGCTTGTTTTTGTGACTGTCGCCCCGTCCACGGTTTTCACAACCGAAGGGGTTGAGTTAACGCCACCTGCCTCGATGGCTCGAGTGATGTGCTCGGTGAGCTCACTAGCGGGCATGTTCAAACGGAATTCGGTTCCATCACCTGTGATGGGATTGGCAAAACCCTCGGGGGCATTCCGTTGCTCCTTAACCCGCCATTCAATAGATTCCCCCTCAATGGGGATTCTATGGGCTCGGCTAGAGGCTAGGATCGAACGAGAAGGTTGAGACGGCCTTGTCCGCTTCTAACCGGTTGGGTACAGGCCGCTGAGGCTCATCTATGTTTCCCCCCCTAGCTCTTTGTTCGACACGAGGCGTCCTCGGGCCTTCCGTGAGCCAGCCCTTGAACCTCGGCCTTTCGATCTAGGATC